CCACTGACACAGTGCCAGTGTTTTTATTTTTACTTGTTTCTCATTGTCTTTATGTATTTTCTAAAATTTGGCTCCATAGACCAGGAATTTGGTTCTCATTCACTTCTTTATCATGGGAGATCGATCAGGGAATAAATCCTCAATAAATACTGTTGAAAAAATAGGTGAACCTAGAAAGAAATTTTGTAAAAAATGTGTGGAATTTGTATGAAATAAAAGAGCAAGTCTATAAAACTTAGTATTTAGTGGAGGGCTCATCAGTTAGATCTTAAGGACAATTTAGATATGTTTACAATAACCTAAACTGTCCTGTAAGAATGAATAGTAAGTGCCGGGAATATACTAACTAGCTCACCACGTGAGAGGACCTATGCTGGGTCCTTAGAACTGAAATAAAAAGGTAGGCATGTGTTTACTATCATCTGTTAAGATGTTTAGTAGGTTAAAGAAATAAAATCTTGGAAACACCTGTGTGAACAGACATTTCACTAGAACAGACTACAGCCCACGATCTGAGCCTAAGGGCTAAATAAAAAGAGAGCTGGGTGGGCACTAGCAGACATGGCTCGCTACCTTCTGACTGTGGATACAATGTTTCCAGTCACTGATACAATGTATCCAGTCACCTATAAAATGTGGCCAGTCACTGATACAATGTGTCTAGTCACTGGTACAATGTGTCTAATCACTGAGACAATGTGTTCAGTCACTGATACAATGTGTTCGGTTACTCTTCCTGCCCTGTGCCTTCCCCACCGTGGGGGACTATAACCTCAAACTGTGAGCTGAAATCAATCTATCTTTCCTCAAGTTGCTAGGATGTTGTGATGACAGCTTTGGGACAGGGACACAATCTCTACATCACTGTGACAAAACATGGTAAAGAAGAAAAGGTTTGTTTTGCCTTCTGGGGGGAAAAGGGGATAAATTCCATCCTGGTGGCAGGATGAAGAAGCCAGTGGGCCACATTGAGCCTGAAGTCTGGAAGTCACAAGTGATGGCTCCTTGTGCTCAGCTCAGTTTATAAGAAGCATTTTTAATATTTATTTATTTTATATGTGTGGATATTGGCCTACATGTATGGCTGTACACCACTTTTATGACTGGTGCCAAAAGAAGCCAGGCTTCAGAAGAAAGCCTCAGGTCCCCTGGGACTGAAGTTACAGATGGTTGTGGGTGCTGGGAATCTGGTCCTCTGGAAGGACCCCTCAACCCCTGATAGAGATGAGGTGAGTCCTCTCATCTCTATTAGCCTAGATAATCCCCCCAAGTCACACTCAGAGGCCTCCCTTTTGAGTGGCTCCAGGTTCTGTGATGTCAACAGCGAAAGCTACCTCTGCCCTAAAGGGACACACTACTTTTTTGATGATATTAAGCAGTCTTGGGATATGGGTTGTGTGGAATGGGTCAACAGAAACGGGGATTGAATCCTGGCATTGTCCACAAGCACACAAGCTTTGGGAGTTGCTACATTCCATTCAAGCTGCAGATTCTGTGGCTAAGACAGGGCGCTCAACACCTCAGCATCTATTTCCATATAAACATATCTGATTTTCCATATAAAAACAGAGTTTTAAATGGTTGAGAAACCGTAGTATGATCCAGTATGGAACGGTGCTTAATATAACTTTATACAATGAAAGGATTGAGAGATTCTAAGATTTTCAGTGACTACAAGAGTCACCAGTTCTTCTGTGAGCCACATGGACGGCAATAAATCGGCCAGAGCCAAGGGGGTCCCTACAGTGTCTGAGAAATGGGGCACGTTTCAAGTAGAGACAGACTATGCTGACTCAGGCTGTGGGAGCCCCATTTACAAAGGTAAGCTGGGGTTATTAGACAGCAGTAGGGAGTGAGGAGGGGAGGAACGGACCCTGGGTCTCAGGCTAGGGAGAACAGATAAACAGGGAAGAATGTTCTATGTCCCTGAGTCAGAAAACGAAGAAGGTGCTTAGGGGAGATTCTGGGGCAGTCAGTGGTCAATGATGTCCAATTAAAAATCAATCTCTTCAGGGGGAAAATGCATCCAGAGGAACCTTACCCCCATCAGAACTGATAAGAAATATTGACCTAGAAATTTCTATTTGGTGGAGAAATTAGTGTTAGAAGATTCTAGGAACTTGTTATCTCTTTACTGTTTAAAGTAAAATGTGGATTTTTTTTGTTGTTTTTTTGGCTTGGAAATTTTGTTATTTTAAAACAAGAAAATTTTTTGGTCATTTTGTGTTGTTTTCCTAGAACAAATAACCATTTTGTTGTATTCCTTGAGAAACAATCCATGACACACGAGCTTTTTAATCACACAATAAGTATGCTAAGCTTTATCTTTGGAACAAAATAAATGGTTGATTATTGTCTCCCGTCACTTATTGCTGAAGGTGTTATCTGTGTTGGATCTTGGCCTGCGTTTTGCTCCCCGGCCTCCCTGGTAGCTAATGTCAGTGAGTCATTCTCGAGTTGGGCGTGTTTCCTGCCTGTTATTTGCATACTTGAATTTTGATGCTGAGAAAATCCTAGAAGTCAAGCTTCAAAAGTCGCACAAGGGCTTGGACAGTGCCTGCTGTTTTGATGGTGTTCAACTGCAGGGCTTCCGTCGTGGGCCTGCTCCTCTTTCAGAGCTGAGTGTGTGTGCATGTGTGTGTGTGCTGAGGGCTGGGGTGGCACTTTACAGAATGGGAGTCCCAGTCCCATGGCCCTTCCTTGAGCAGCCTCGATGAGAGCAAGCCTGCAGCAAGGGCTCAGAGCACAAGGATTGCTCATTACCCCACTCGTTCCTCAAATGCACTCATGTTCAGCTGCTTACAACATTAAACGATCATCTGCTGGGGACAGTGTGCTGGTTATTTCTAATAATGCATATGTCTAATGAGTCTTAACAGAAGCAAATGTATTAGTCATTTGGTCAGTAATCGCTAAGCATTTAGTAAACGTAGGACATATTTTTCCTATTTCTATAAGAATGCCATTGGTATTCGGGTGGAAATCTCATGGAATCTATAAGCTACTTAGGGTAGTATAGACATTCTAAATATACTAATTTTCATAGTTCACAAGCATACATGGTCTTTCCCTTGTATGTACACATAGGATCTTCAGGGTTTTTTTGTCAGTGTTTTGTAATTTTGATTATAGGACTTGTTATTTCTTTGCTTGAATTTATTTCTAGGCATTTTGGGTTGGTTGGTTGGTTGGTTTGCTGCTGAACTTGAATCCCCAGGTTTGATGGATCTTGCTGCCTCAGCATCCTGAGTAGTTGGGGCTGTGGGCTTGCACTTCCACACCTGACTTATCCCAAGGCATTTATCTTGTCTTCTTCCGCTTCAATGTTGCCGCTGCTGTTTACAGCGTGCTAACAGCATCGACTCATGTCCTTTGAGTAAGTTCATTACTAGTGTGTACAATACGGCTGGCTTTTATGTTGGATTATGAAGGATTTTATATCCTTCAGTTTTGCTGAATTCCCTTATCTGTGTCTTTTGGTAGAGTTTGCAGAAGCTGTTTTTTTTTAATCTATATATTATACCATTTTGAAGCAAGTAATTTGATTTCTTTGCTTCCTATTACTGATACCTAATTCAAAATCACTATTATAAAAAACAGCAAATGTTGACAGGTGAGCGCAGGATGGGACTCAGGCACTGCAGGTGGAATGTAGATCAGTGCAGACTTCTTAGTGTCAAGGTTTCAGAAAGGAAAATCTGATTATCCAGAGACTCCAGCGATTTAGCAGAGTGTGGCACCAGCTCAGAGGAAAAGACTGGTGGCGTGCTGCAGGCAGAGAGTGGCCACTATGACAGACACCAGCTCGCTGCAGGGAGAGTGTGCCACTATGACACCAGTTCAGATGCAGAATCAACCTACAAGTCTATGACAGACAGAAGAAGAAAGTATGTCGTGTGTGCACGCGCAATGGAGCGTGGTTCTACCATAAAGCCGAAAGCCTGTCATCTGTGGCAGGATGGACACACCTGGAAGGCATTGCAGTGAAATAAGCCACACGCCACGTCCTTTCTAAGCAAGGGTCTCTCACACGTGGAAAGCAAAACTATTGTTCTCACAGTAGATGAAAGAGGAATAATTCCTAGGATACAGGAGAGGGAGAGGAAAAGAGAGATTAAAAGACGTTAGGTAGTAAATGCGAAGACACAGTCAGACGGACGAAGGGAGTCCAAGAATAATACAGCCTATCAGTAGGAAGTTAGAGTTCACTGAAGCGAGGAACCCAAAGGCTCCTAAGGTAGGGCTGGAGAGATGACTCAGAGGTTAAGAACACTGGCAGCTCTTGCAGAGGACCTAGGTTTGATGCCCAGCACCCACGTGGCAGCTCACAACCATCTATAACTCTGATTCCAGGAGAGCCAATGCTCTTTGACCTCCATGAGAACTGCACACATGTGGCGAACTTATACATGCACACAAAACATTTACATATATAAAATCAAAATTAATAAGTATTTTTATAAAGAGGCTCCAAATATAGGCAAGTGACAAAGAGACGAAAAGCTGGGTGCCGTGGTTAACAAGGAGATGAAGAGCTGGTTGCACCCCCCAAAACACCTGTACTTAGGACTTTCTCCATATTCCTAGTTGGTGTGACTTTGGGGAAATTACTTGCTTCTCTGTGCCTCGGTTTCCCCGTGTGTAAAATACTGAGGATAACTGTAGTATTTATCCCAGTGGACCACAGAGAGTCTGCTCTCCAGTCACGGTGATGAGCACAACCGCGTTAGAGGTTGACGGACAAAGCCGCACTAGGAAACCTGGCAGCTAAGACGTATACAGTGGCTTAAGAGGTAGAAATGAGGATGGCAAGTTAATATCCATCTCACCTGATGGCTTAATTTACCATAAAGTACCTAGGATGGGGACTGATAGGTTGTAAGTACTCTAGGTACGAGGTAGGGCTCTGCTTTAGTACTGTCTTGGTTTGTGGTTTTTTTTTTTTTTTTTTTTGAAGGTCTTCACTTTGTTTCATTCTTATGTACAGAGACTGGCATTCATCTTTTCCACTGGGTCTGAGTCTTGAAGAATCCATTCAAGGTCACTTAGTCCAACTTAATGAAGCCGATGTCCTTCGTGTACTGCCAGAAACACTGGCGGCCCACGTTCAGCCCGTATTTCCGGATCAGACCGTTGTGGTTTGAGCAGACGCAGCAGGAGCGGGATCCCTGGCCGAACTTTCGCGGGTGACTCCAGTAGAGCTGCTGGTGACCCATGTTGCCTCACTGATGGCCGACGAGCCAAAAGGGCCTTGGTTTGTATTTTGAACCTGATGCTACCCAGTGCTGCGCAGGGTCCAGGGACCCTCAAGGCTAAGGTCAGTAGGAACAGTTCCAGCATTCCTGTGCTTACAGGGAGCAGCTCCTCACACACGCCACTCCCAGAGGCCTGAGAGGCTCTGAGCGTCTAGCAGTCAAGCATAGTAAACTGAGGCTACAATGGTCAGAGGAAAACCCCAATAAGTGAGAGGGGTGCCCTGCTTTCCCCTGATATCCCCAGCGTGACCCCTTCATTACAATACCGTGAGTGTCTGTCAGCATTTCCACTGATGAGAAGGGGGAAGCACAGATCGGGGCTTTCATGGAAAGCGCCCTGATTCTCACAACCAGAATTCCTGCCTTTCAAGGGGGTGGGGGGCAGATCTTTAACTTTTCCTTCAGCGTTTCAGAACCCAACTATTTGAAAGCATCCTTTCTGAGGAACGGTATTTCCTGGCACAAGGCAGCCTTTGTCAAGTGACTCAGACTGATTGGTTTTCAATATCAATTGGCCTCAACTTACAGAGAAAAAGTGGGCACTGGGTATCAGTTTGATGTCAGGGTTTTTCCCTGTTTGAAGAGCTTTAAATACAGCTAGCCTGGAAGGTGCCAGTAGGTTGAGCTCCAGACTCCTGCCAAGATGTTCGTGGCCTCCATCCTTGCCTCTGCCCTGCTCTTCAGTGCTATGGGCTCTGTGCTGAGCTGGAAATGCAGTACCACGGCTGGGATCATGGACACCAACTACCTTATCATGAAGCTGAAGGTAGACTTCTGGGGCTGGGGAGAGCTGGCCGCTGTGTGAGCCACCCCTGGAGGGCGAGGAGGGCTCTCTACTCACTCTGGTTATCTTCTCTTTGCCTGCTGCAGGATGACCCTGCCTCAAAATGTAGCTGCAGTACCAACGTGAGTGACTGACTTCTCAAGAGCCTTCCAAACCTGTCTTAAAGTTCACAGCTGGAGTGCTCATGCTGTAATTTCTCTCTTGCAGGTGACCAGCTGCTTGTGTCTTCCCATCCCATCCGTAAGTACAGCTGAAAAAGAGCACTGGGTCGCTGTTCAAGCCTTGAAGAAAAATAACACAATTTACTTGACATTCTAAATTTTAAATTATTACCTAAATGTAACTGTTATAGTATAGACCTTTAAAACTTTATCTCTGTGTGTGTGTGTGTGTATATATATATATATAATATTATACATATCTATATGTTTAAGTTAGCACCATGGCCCTTGAGACATTTGAATATTTTTTCAGAGTCTAAAAATTATTGACTATCTTTTGGGATAAATGGCCATGTACAATGTGGAAACAATGGCTATTGCGCTCTGATTTGTCTGCTGATGGCTCCAGGTTTGTGGAACAAAAGAGCAGCATCAGGCATTGACTGTCCAGACATCACACACACCTCTCCCTTCTCCTTCTCCTTCTCCTCCCTGCCCTCACCTCTTCCTCTTCCTCCATCTTCCTGCCGGTTTTCATGACTGACAAATGGCTCCAACCATTCTCTGGGAGGACAGTATCCAAGTTTGGTGCTGGGGACCGAATGGACCCCAAGAGAGCAGCTAGCACGGTGACAGCGAGGATGGAGCAGGGAGGCTCAGGTCCCTCTCTAGCTCTCGGTTAGGATGAGAGCACAGTCAGCCAGACCTGCGGCCACTGCAGGGCTCAGCCTGCAAGCCGGACCTGGGAGAAGCTGATGTGGTTAGGGAAGAGTCCGCCTATCCTCTTGCTTCTCAGGGCAGGATTTTAGCTTGTCTGAAACACAAGCCCTATCCAATGGCCTGTCTCAGCTGATGTGAGAAAGGCTTTTCCTTTTCTGTCCTTTCAAACTTGCAACCACCGGACATGGACAGGGCATGCCGGGCTGCCTTTGTCGGGCAGCAGGCCCACGTTTCTTGGATAGAATCTCCTTCTGAGTGTCGCTGCGAAAACGGCTCACCTTAAACTATTTAACACCATTTCCTAGAGTGTCAAGGAACAGATGCAAAAATAGCACGAGTCTGGGTGTCCCTGGCTAAATTAAGTTGCTCTTTAAAGTTCTCTTGGCGATTCCTTCTCAAGGGTGTCCCAGAGAGTTCCCATGAACTCTTTTCACAAGTCCTTCTCGTTTACCAGGATGATTGTACCACACCGTGCTTCCTGGAGGGACTGTCTCAGGTGACCAATGCCACACAGGATACAAATCTCTCGGTTTTTTCCACTCGGTTGGAAAGGACAGTTGAAAGCCTAAAGAGCAACAAGTGTCTGGTGAGTTCTGTGTTCGCGTGTGACAACTGATTTCGGAGTGAATGCTGGCATCAGAGTGGAGCCTTGGGGTCAGAGCTGCAGCAGAGAAAAGCTGTCCGCTCATCTCTGAGCCAATGAGAAAGGCCGGTAGTTAGAGCCGGCGGCCCTGGAATTCACCGTGCTGTAACCAAAAGCTGCACTCCAGAGAGTCAGACTATGGCCCACACAGCACTGGGCCAAGACTCCATGGACTAACCTAGATGTGGCAACCTCTAAGTCGGCGTTTCTGTTTGCTTGTTGATGGCCCAAAGGGTTTGTAAAAAGACACCAAGGTCTAGGTAGGCACTTGACACCTCCCCTGCTGCCTATCAACTGCCTTGTTCCTGGGGCAGTGGCAGGCCACCGTCCTTTCTCCCTGGGCCTTGGTGTTCTTAGGAGTGCAGCACCAGCAGTATGAAGTGCTGTGGTTGGCCGGGCTGGTCATGTATCCATGCCCACCGTGGAAGCTGTCCTGGCTGCACCACCTGCTCTGTCAGGCTGAGCATCTGCCTTAGAGACCAGCTTTAACTCTGTCACCCCTGCTAAAGGAGGACAGTAATACCCAGGAAAGTTATTTTTCTGATGAGATTGTATTTAATAAGAGACTAAGTTGGGACTTAAACTCTGGTCTATGTGAACCCAAAGTCTCACTCAGAACTTCTGTGTTATAAAGTGGTCTTGGAAGGATGTGGGGGAAGGAGATAAAAAGTATAAAGATATTTAGTCCTTAAAGAATCCCGAGAAAAGATTTTTTTCCCTAATCACATTTAAGGCCACGTGTGTGTGTGTGTGTGTGTGTGTGTGTGAGAGAGAGAGAGAGAGAGAGAGAGAGAGAGAGAGAGAGAGAGAGAGAGAGAGAGAGGGGCATACAGACTCCTGGAATCCTGACCCCAGATTAACCCCCTACATAGTCTGTCCAGGATCACCTTTCTATTTTCCCTACATCTCACTCCTCTCTCTCCTGCCCATCAGCCTGTCCCCAAGCCTTGGGGACTATGGTCGTGTGGTTTCTAGGTGTACACTGCAGTTGCTCACTCTGTCTTGCCCTTGTCCATCTCTGCAGTTTTTCTCCTGTGAAAATCCATGCAACCAGACCACATCAGGCAACACGCTGTCATTTTTGAAGAGTCTCCAGGCAACGTTCCAGAAGGCAGGGGTGCTAAGGCGGAAACAAGCGTGATGATGAACATTATTTATTCTATTTATTGAATTTATAAAGCCTTTACTTTTTAATTATTATAATAAAGAAATAAACTCAGCTCTTCTAGATCAGCCAGTTGTGCTCTTTTGTTCCACGTTTGCTTCTGGAATAAAATCCACGGGGAAGGAGAAATACAAGCTGCCTCCAGGTGCTGTCTCCTTCCTTATTCGTTCCTGCTGCTCGGAACAAACAGAGCTTCGAACGTTGTCATAGGTGGGATGGATCAAAGACCCGGTAATAGGCAGGTTCATAAGTCTGAGCTCAGAACTCGAGGCTTGAGCCTTGACTGGTCCGTAGGTGAGCAGCCATGCGGGACAGTGTGACAGGTGGACAGCAGTAGAGGCCAAGAGCTGCCTGGGGGAAGCACAGGGCACTTCCGCATTACCAAGGGCTTTTGTTCTGGGGAACAAACTGTGGACCCAAAGTGGGAAGGGCCATTGTTTGGAGAGTCCAAGGGCTGAGAGACTCCTTGCAAATGCGGGTACGGGGGCTGGAAATGTGTAGCAATGGTTCCAGTCCTTGCTGCTCATCCAGAAGCGGAGTCCAGTTCCCAGCACCCTTGTCAGGAGGCTCACAGCCATCTGTCTCTCTAGCTCTAGAGGATCTGATGCCTCTGCCCCCCAAGAGCATCTCCACTCATGTGTACGTGCCCACATGCACACACATACATAGATAGCATCCACTCATGTGTACATGTCCACATGCACACACACAGCTTCTACTCCTGTGTACATGCCCACATGCACACACATACATAACATCCACTCATGTGTACATGTCCACATGCACACACACAGCCTCTACTCCTGTGTACATGCCCACATGCACACACATACATAGTTTCCACTCATGTGCACATGCCCACGTGTACACACATACATAGCCTCCACTCATGTGCACACACCCACACATACATAGCCTCCACTTATATGCACATGCCCACATGCGCACACATACATAGCCTCCACTCATGTGCACACGCCCACACATACATAGCCTCCACTCGTGCACATGCCCACATGCGCACACCTACATAGCCTCCACTTATATGCACATGCCCACATGCGCACACCTACATAGCCCCCATTCATATGTACACACCCACATGCACACACCTACATAGGCTCCACTCATGTGTACACACCCACATGCGCACACATACATAGCTTCCACTCATGTGCACACGCCCACACATACATAGCCTCCACTCATGCACATGCCCACATGCACACACATAGTCTGTACTCCTGTGCACACACATACATAGCCTTCACCCATGTGCACATGCCCACATGCGCACACACACATAACGTGGGTGTGGCTTATATAAGAATGCAAAGGGCTGCCAGTGGGCCTGGATTTGAGTCACAGAGCGTGGCCTTCAGGGTGGAGCTTGAGGGAAAGATGTGCGAGATCCACATGGTCTGTTTACCCAGAGCTGTTCAGGGAGCCCCCACCACGTGTCAGCCAGCAAACCCTAATGAGCAAACCCCAGAGAGCCTCAAACCACACTGCATGGCTGGTAGAGTGTGGGTGTAGCCATACCCCTCACCCTGACCCCCTACCTACCCTACCCCAGTGCCTGCCTCTCTCTCCAAGGACCCAGTTTGTCCACTCCTATAGTAGCATGGAGCTCATGGAGCAGGTGCCATGTGCATACGGTCTGAATGGTGGCTCTCCAGATGCAAGGGCACCACTGAGTCAGGAGTATCCATGCCTGGTGGATAGACTGGACCCAGAACATTCTATAGGTATCTTTGCAACCTAGTCAGGTCAAGGGTCAGTTTATGCTACCTGCCTACCTGGGATGGAAAAGACTTCAGGCTTGTTTGAAGAACTGGCAGACACAGGATCAAGGACAGGGTAAGAGTCTTTGACAGACAGAATGGTCCTGTCCTCCCCCACCTACTGATACGGAGGTATGTGGGAACCCTGGGTTTAGTCCTCATGCGTGAAGCTTCCAGAACTAGGTTCCTGCCTCCACACAGGGCATTGAATAGGGAGCATGTCTAAGTATGTATCATGCCTGCTGTCTGGCCTGTGGATCCCCCAAAGCCTTTCCCCACCCCTTCCAAATTTACCAAAGTGTGATACACGGGAAATGCTGAGGAGGTCTAGTAAGACACTTGAAATAGTCATTAGTGTTAAGCACTTCACGTGGGCATCGTCTCTGATTGGACCGGAAGGGAGAACTTTATTTAATCACCTAGGATTGGTGGGGAGTAGACACTAGTATTTCTTTTTTTATAAGCATGAACATGGAAGCTTTCTGGGTTGGAGATTCCCAAGTTCCCTCAGCTGGTGAAAACTCAGAGCAGAGAGCCATTTCCAGCTGGCTCTGTTTGTCAACCCATCACTCTGCCTGCCCTGTTCTGTTGTTCTTCTCTCTAGGTAAGATTTCCACGCTTCGTCCTCTGACCACAGCCTGAGGGTCAAATGGGTCGCCACAGCCCCAGTGTGCACCCATTTATGCAGAAAGCAAGGGTCAGGCGGGGTTCAGATTTCAAGCATTTTAGTCCTTTCAAAAGCTAATGCACGATTCATAGGCCACATTATGTAACACCCCTAGCAGGGCCTGGAGCAAAATTCTGTGATTAAATGCATCAATATTCTGCAGCGAAACCGGAGAACATTCACACAAAGTGGTCAAGGTTTACAGCCAAATGAGTCACAACAACCCTGAGTTGGCTGAGCTGTTTGGGTTTCAGGGCGGCGATAAGGGATTGGGGACCTGCATGAACAAAACAGCTTTGCTTCAGCTTGGGGCTCAATTCCATCCTGCCTGGCTCTGGGTCGTCTCCAGAAGGAACAGAAGAGGCTTCTGCAGCTCCCTGGCTGGCTGCTGGCTACATGGCAACCCTGGTGGCTTCCCCAGCGCCTGGGCTTTCTGAGTCACACTACTCTCTGTTTTGCAGTCGGCCCTCACCTCAGCAGGAGCGCAGGCAAGGGAGGATGCCAGGGGTTGGGGACGGTCTCCGCCAGACGAGGACACAAGCCACTGCTAGAGGAGAGGAACTGAGCGATACAAACTGAAACATGTTGCCACATGAAAACCACCTGCCAGCTGGGGGCTTTCCCTTGGCTTGTCTGTGAAGTTGTGTAAGATAAGGACTCACTCCTGCAGGCAGACTCTGAGGAGGGCTCACCTGGAGCGAGATAGGCAGTCCCAGGACAGCTGGGCTCTATCAAGGAGCACCTCGGAGAAAGGAGAAGAAACAGATTTTTCTAGGCATCAGGCAGCACTAAGTGTGGTCTGTGGAAGAGTCAGAGCCTCCCACTGACCCCAAGAAGAATCACTAAGGGCTGTGTACAGATTATTCTCACTGTACGGATGGGAGAGTTGAGGCTCAGAGGCACACTGTTCAAGCGGATGAGAATGCTGCCCTGCACAGGTGGCTAAGTTGCCAGCAGATGTGTTCCAGGAACCCAGAGAATAAAACAGAGACCACCTGGAGAATCCTCCCTGCATCCCAACCCCAGAGCCCCAAGTCTCCCCCAGGGAAGAAGGAGACCATCTTGAATTGAACATTTCACTCAGAACTCATAAATTTTCCCCAGAAGTGACAAAAACCCCATTTTCCCCAGCTATAGGGTAGAATGGAGACTGGGGGGAGGGGGACAAGTTCTACCCACATCCTGCACGCCTGTGGATGTGAACCCGGATCCCGCACACCTGAGGATGTGAACCTGCATCCCGCACACCTGAGGACGTGGTTTGACAACCCAACAGTCAGAATAAGCATGCAGGTGCCAGCTCGGCATCATCAAGATGCTGTGGAGTGTGACATACTGAGGCAGGCGTATAGGGTGATGGTTCTTAGAACCTGGGGAACCAAACCTAGTTTGGCACCCCTCCATGCTCAGGGGAACTGAGCCAAGTGGGTTCTCTATGCTTAGCCAGAGGCCAGAAGCCTTACTTCTCTGAATGGATTTCTCTGCTGGGTCACATGCTTCTGGAATCTTCTTTGACATGAGCTTAGCAGAGAGGATTATTGGAGCAATTCTTAGGAGACATTCACTTGAAGGCACAAAGGAGCAGTTATGACTCTCAGGGTTTTACACAGTTCAGGCTCAGGGAACACAGATGCAGCCACTCTTTGTCAACCTCCCAACAAAAGCTAAACAGCCTAGATTCAGAGAGGAAGGCAGACAGAAACACACACACACACACACACACACACACACAGCAGGTTAGTCTTCTAATCTCTACACAGGACACTCTACAGTTCCCAAAACAACTTCTGTCCTTAGTTCTTACTGACAATTCAGACAGCAAGTGAAAGAAAATTGTGTGGGCATTGCAGAGGAAAACTGAGGCCCAAACAGGCAGAATCTGTTGAGATTATTCAGATAGCCACTGACGCTGGAATCCAGGGAAAAGACAGCATCCAGTGGCATGGAGAACGGAGAGGCAAGAAGACCTAGGTTACCATTTAGCAGATGTCTCTAGGGATTTAGTTGACCTCTGCTGCCACCAAGTGGCAATTCTGTGGTATATCAGCCAAAGAGGCCTTTGAGAACCGGTGTTTCTTGTTGAGCATCTGTCCTCAAAGTGACCCACAAGACCAAAATTATCTTCATATAATCCTAAGATACCTTCCTTTCCACTCTGGTTTTCTCGTGTGTATATGGGGTCTTTCAAAGGCTACACAGCAGGTGACATCACAGACAAGCAGAAGGGTCTCCAGCTGCCCCCAATTCATTCACTACAGAGGAGTAAACAGCCCAGTCAGGAGCACACGGTGGGAGACCCTACAGGCTACCTCATCCAGTCTGACTGCGGAGCCAAGGCAGGCACTAGGGCATACCTACTCGATACGCCCTAGGATGTGATGAAAGAAGTACCCTGAGTTCACATCAGCATCATCTAACATGCCAGGAGCATCTCCTCCCCGGCATCCTCAGTACCTGCTCATGATGCTGAGCAGGGGAGGGATCCAGCCTGTTTCTGCAAGGGTCTAATAAATTAGCATGAAGGT